AACCATTTCGTCTGTATTGGCAGGTCAAACCCAACCCGGGAACATGCATCAAAGCGTATATTCAGCTGCTTGTCCAAGGAATTTCAAACATTGTCCTGGATCTACTCTTGTTGGCAATATCTTACCCGCTCCTCGCTGCAGTTCGCCAGCGGAACCTCGGTGAGCAGCTTAGAGTTGGGATTCTATGCTGTCTAGGGGTTTTCTGCATTGTCATAACACTGGTTCGCATTGGTTACATCTATGCCGAACAATCGTACCAACCAGTGCGCAGCTTCTTCGCCTCTGTGCAAATAGCTGCCTCCTGTTTCGTGGCCAACATCCCGACCATCTATGGCTGTGTCAGAATGATCAGAAGGCGTAGATCGCATCAGATGCAGAGACGAGGAAGTCGACCAGAAGTTTGGTTACAGCTTCAAGCCACAAATGAGTCCAATACTCCCGCCAGTATTCCGATCACGATGCGAGAGAACAGTTCATCGAATGAGTCAGAGAAGAAGTGGGCGCACTTGGTTCCTTGATGCTTTTTTCGCGGATGGCGCCAACTACCGGATTGACATATCCCAAGAATCTCGTGAACCTACCATACCTGTAGGAGACGGATTATCTAAAGAAACCTCTTCTGGCCCCTTACCAGAAAAGGTCCGATCTCGTCAGACTACTTACCATACATCGATCGCACAACACCTCAAGCGGCTGATATCCACCCGTAACCGTCGGCAGCGAGCCCTACAAGTTTCAACGAGCAAAGTGGCAACAAAGCGGCCAGTGGAAAACTCGTTAACCCTTGTCTGTTGTGGTCGAATGGAAGTATAATGCAAGAAGAAAGTGATGAACGCAATATCGAACACGCGGCAGATATTCGGGAACAGGTCGAGACAAGAGGAAGGCCAGGTCTGCCATGTCCTGACTTCGGCCAGATTTCGCGAGAGCGAAGGTGGCGCAGCTGGAGAGCAGGTGGACTCTTTCAGGTTCTCTATCTGCCCCCAGAACGAAACTGGTTCTGGTGAAACGGCACAATACAGCTTCAAGCAGAGTGTGCAATCTTCAGCCTTCGCCAACCTTGAGTGAACAGAGCTCTTCACAAATTCACGATCGCGGCCTGTCTACAATACTCGGTGGCATTCCACCACAGTTCCAACCGATTTCAATTCTCGACATGTACGACTCATCTGGATATCTGGCCAAAAAGGACAACAATTGTGGTCCTCAATACAAGTACTCACGACGTCGCCAGCGTCAATGCAATGCGCCTCAATTGGTCCAGCAGTTGTTGGGCCGCTGCGCTGTCGCGTCCACACAGAGACCAAGCATAATGGATTGATGTAATATCATAGAATCCACTGTCATGCGGATGACTTTGAATAGAGGAGATGCATAGAACTGAGATTTGAGGACGCATCGCAGAGGACTCTTCTGGTGACGAGATGAAGGGAGCAGGAGTGAGATACAGGCGGCGCTGAAAACGCCATGCAGAAGCAGCGCCAACTTCCTGGCTCGACCATCAAAGAAGATATGAACAGGTGCAAACCATGAAGTCGCATACATATGTACATTAGTACAGTAGCATGAGCACATCCTTGCGTTGAGTCAGTGAGGTTGAGAGTGTACAAGCCGAAGAGCCAGCCTCGCCGCTGCCAGCCTGATGTCCAAGGCACGTGGTGATAAGGCGGCTTGTTCTTCTTATCGGGACATCGCGAAAAGGGATAATAATCGTCGTTGTGCCTGCGCTCAGGAGGTCAGATGCTTGACCAACATTCTCAATGCGTCTACAACCACCACAGCGGCCAAATCGTCTTGTACACCGAACAATACATCTCCAAGATCGACCTCGAAACCAAGCAATATGCTCCCCTCGACCACTGTGCAGTTTGCTATCTGTTAAGCTAGGCGCAACACGACAACACTAGGCTTGAGGCTCGTCTCCGTTGCCTGCGACAATGGACGGGTTGTTCACTTTGCTCAGCCTGTGCATTGTCATGGCTGTGGCATCTTTCCTTGCAGGCATCTTGCCACTCTCATTGGGCCTCTCACAACCAAAACTACGCTTCATATCAACAATCGGTATGGGTGTACTGGTTGGTACGTCACTGGTTGTCATTATCCCTGAAGGGGTGGAGACTCTTTACAGTGCCTCTGAAGTCGGACACGCGCATGCGCAACTTAAAAGGCATCTACATGCGCGCGAGATAGACATTCGATGGAGTCAGTCTGTTACAGCTCAACCGCTTCACGAGATCCGAGCGCGAGAACCTGCCGATTTGAGCCCCTTCGATGTTCCGGGCCCTGTCCTCCCGTCCGATCTGGATCTGGAGGCGCCACCACGTACTCCTACAAAACCTGGGGTGGTTGGTGTCATGAATGTTGACGGAAAGGGAGAAACGCAGGCCGACAAAGACTATAGCAGCGGGGAGGAGGAGGAGGAAGACGTACATAAGGAATCTCACCATGCATGGATCGGAGTTGCGTTGTTGGCTGGATTTATGCTCATGTACTTGGTTGACAAAGTACCACAATACAGTCAACCGGCAAAACAAAAGTCGAGGACACATCATATTGCCTTGAATAATCTGGGCCGCAGATTCAATTTCACTACATCTTTGGATCGCGACGAAGAATCGGACTCCTTCATAGACTCGACTGAAGGGCGCCACGTCCAGCAACGGAGCTTCGCAACTACCATAGGTCTGGTCATTCATGCAGCTGCTGATGGAATAGCCCTGGGGGCGTCTTCAACTGCAACGACATCTGGACTGAGCTTTGTGATATTCTTTGCGATCATGATTCACAAGGCACCAGCGGCGTTTGGGCTGACGTCCGTCCTTGTCAAGCAGGGGCTGTCTAAGAGAACAGCCAGAGGGCATCTGATCCTCTTTAGCCTGGCTGCGCCAACTGGAGCGATCTTTACGTGGTTGCTTGCCCACCTACTTGGCGGTGGTCAGAGTCAAAGTGCACAGACTACCAGGTGGTGGACGGGGATGCTGTTGCTGTTCTCTGCAGGGACTTTTCTTTACGTGGCCATGCATGCGATGCAAGAGAGCTCTGGCTCGCTCCATGAGGGGATGAATGGAAACGCAAATGGCTACATTGATGGGCGGGAAAGCACGCCGAGTGAGCCCAAGCCGTCTTGGAAAGATCTTGGAGCAGCTTGCTTCGGAATGATCCTGCCATTGTTTTTACAGGTTGGGCATGCTCATTGACACAGAGCGTATTTGTCTTGATACGAGAACGGCATTGTTGGTATAGCTTGGTATCATCTTCAAGAGCAGGGCGAGTGACTGGGTGGCGATCTGATGAGTCGAGGTTAGAAGCACCTTGTCCGCGGATGAAAGCGACATCATCAGAACATTGGGCTCCATCGGTCGTGTCACTGAAATCTAATTCCTTGAGTTACTCTCCTGAACCAAGGTCTTCAGAACAAACACGACCCCCCCTCCCCACCCCCCTAAACCCCGGATCTTCGAGATACCCGGATTTGGAACCTAAGCGGAGACCTAGGAGTTTGAGTGTCACTGTTTCAACATGGTCAGCATTTGAGGTTCAGCCATCAGAGACAGGATTGTCTCTGCGGCAGGAGTCAAGTGCTTTGACCTTTGTACTTGATAGTGTGTGTTTATACTACTCAGCGTGTCGTATTTTCGATCTGTGCTCTAGTCAGACATTGCTGTTGGTAACAAAGAACAACCGACTCATGATTGTCCGCTCACCATGCATTCAATATTGGAAACGGCGTGATTCACCTCGCGCTCTGTACAGTGCCTATTTGGAGGGGTCTCCTCTTTCCTCGGTATATGATTTGGTATGTAGCACGGAGGGCGCAATTGCAGACTAGCATCTAAGCGCAGTCTCTGAACAGAATCTAGACTCGACGATCATTTGACGAACAGTCAGTGGCCAAAGTCGAACCACACTGGCTTGGACTGGGCAGCCATGGACATGTTAGGCATGTTAGGCATGCGCTTTGGAAAACGGTGCAAGGTTCAGGCACCACTTCCAGCCCGGACCCGCCCCGAGAGGCCCATTTGTCCCGGCGGACGACAGGCTAGTCATCGGGGCGCGTGGGCTACTTCTGCACTCCTTGTTTCCTTGCTGCATCTTGCTCCTCCTGCCAACATTTCAGCCTCTCACGCCTCTTCTCCCTCTCTCCCCTCGGGTCTCCGTACCTGACGAACCTGGCGAATCTGACCTCTCCCATCACCTCTGAGTCCCCGAATCCTCCTCCTACCCACAAACCGCAAAACCGAACAACCCAGAGATATCACATTCTTTTCGATATCAACATCGCAAGAACCCAGCTTGGCTTCCTTCAAGCTCCAGCCCGGGACCCGGCCTTGCTTACAAAAACCCCAAGACCCAGCCTCCCACGCCTCCTCTCGATCTCGCCGCCACCTCCCTCCCTCCCTTTCCCTCGGATCTCCATATTGTCCGGTTCATTCCTCTCCTGGGCTAGACCCTGCCTCGCATGTCATAAGCGCTTTTCTGCCAACGATACACCTGCAGCTCGAGTCGTCCTACTCCGTTGCCCTCTACCTTGACGCTGACATGGCATGATCAGGAGAGATTTATAATATAGCCTCGAAGACGAGTCCGCTCATTGTCTATCCGACAGCCAGCCTTTCGCTGCTTCCTTCGTTGTGCCCTTTCCGCAGATTCTTGACTTGTGTGGTCAGACGGAGCAGGTGCTGTCGCCAAACGTCACCCTCCACGAACCGGCCCGCGTGGAGTTGAAAGAGATGGACTTGGATGATGACCATCGCTCTATGTCTATAGACAGACCGCTGTCGCCGAGGCCCTCCAGATCTGTTACGATCGACCCGAATCAACTTGCAAATCGAGTCTACAGTAACTCAAGACCAGAGTCTCTGGACCAAGACCATGACTTTCCATTCACGGCACCCCACGGCAATAACCCTCAGATAGACCCCCTTCGGTCGTCGAGACCTCCACGGCACGGTGTGTCGCAACCGCGTCCAAAGCGACTATCCACCTCGAACAAGTCAGGCATGCCCTTGAGCATATTGCCGTCGGCTCCCGCCTCTCCTCCCACACCAGCGCCCTCACCTACACCTTATCAGCGGGCTCCTAGTTGGACTTCTGCGGGCGAAAATGAGGATTCATTTCTACGGGATGCCAGGGGTCATTTTTCCAACCTGAACGCTGCAGAACGAGAGAGATACTTGGCCGAATTACTCAACATGTGTGACAGCCACTTGCTTTCCTTTGTTCACAATTTTGTGTCGCCGAGACTGAAGAAAGATCCTTTTGAACACCTCCCAGATGAGCTCTGCTTAAGGGTATGTGTTACTTCTGTTTGCGGGGAATGTATCGACTGACATAATAACAGGTACTGTCTTACATCGATGATCCGCTTAGCCTGGCGCGAGCCTCTCAAGTCTCACATCGGTGGCACAAACTCTTGAACGATGATATGCTTTGGAAGATCATGTGCGACAAGCATGCCTGGCGAAGAACGTCCTCCTCAGGCCCAAGCGACGACCTCGATTCACCATCGCCCTCTCAAGCGAGCCAAGGCCCCTACACATTCAATAGTCGCTCTCCCAAACGAAGCGTCGATGGGTCCATGGTCGGCCCCTCAAGCAGCGCACCCAACCTGACGTTACCTAAACATGATGCTCTGTCAACCAGCCCTCGTGCTAGGAAGCGAGTGTCACAATCTCATTATTCTCATTTCCGTCACAAATACATGATTGAAGCGGCTTGGAGGAAAGGCGGTGAACCCATTATCAAGCACATCACCCCGGATCAAGGTGTGGTCACCAGCCTGCATCTGACGGACAAGTATATTGTGGTGGCAATGGATAATGCCAAAATTCATGTCTTCAATACAGTGGGTGAACATCAAAAAACACTAAAAGGCCATGTCATGGGTGTGTGGGCGATGGTCCCCTGGGACGATATTCTAGTATCTGGAGGCTGCGACCGTGACGTGAGGGTATGGGACATGAAGACCGGCAGGAGCATTCACGTCTTAAGGGGCCACACTTCGACAGTGAGGTGTTTAAAAATGTCTGATGCCAACACAGCCATTTCCGGCTCGCGAGACACAACGCTGCGGGTCTGGGATTTGCAGTCTGGCGTCTGCAAGAATGTGCTGGTTGGGCACCAAGCCAGTGTTCGGTGCTTGGCCATCCATGGCGATCTCGTGATTTCCGGGTCCTACGATACCACAGCCCGAGTCTGGAGCATATCGGAAGGCCGCTGTCTTCGGACGCTCACTGGACATTTCAGCCAAATTTACGCCATTGCTTTTGACGGCAACCGCTGTGCCACTGGCTCGCTGGATACCAGCGTCAGAATATGGGATCCAAAGACCGGAATGTGCACAGCCATTTTGCAGGGCCACACATCCCTAGTTGGACAACTGCAGCTTCGTGGCGACACTCTAGTTACAGGTAAGCTCATCACCCCCCAGACTCGTCAGGTTACACCGAGACAGATTGCTAAATCTACCATATAGGTGGCTCCGACGGTTCCGTTCGCGTATGGTCGTTAAAGACCAACTCGCCTATTCATCGTCTTGCTGCACATGATAATAGTGTTACGAGTTTGCAGTTTGACGACAACCGGATTTTGAGCGGTGGTAGCGACGGGCGCGTAAAAGTCTGGAGCGTTGAGACTGGTCAACTTGTCCGTGAGCTCAGTCAACCTGCCGAGGCTGTGTGGAGAGTGGCTTTTGAGGAGGAAAAGGCCGTCATCATGGCGAGCCGGTCGAACCGAACTGTCATGGAGGTAGGCGTCACGAGGGCTTGCTGGTCATTCAGGCATATTGCTAACATTCTTTGTAGGTATGGTCCTTTTCGCCACCAGACGACCTCTTGGATCGAAGGTCGGAGAGTCCTCTGAGCATGCCCGAACACGCACCGTTGGTAGATGAGGGAGAAGAATCAAGTCGATTCCACAAGGAGATCGGTGACGGCGATGCGACCATGAGCGACATATAGGAGTCTGTCGCTAATCAGGGACGCAACGCCGCGTCAAACACACCGAGACGTTCCGAACGAATAGCACGACGAATGATGCCACATGTCAAAAAATGATGTCGTCCACGAAGAGGCAAGCTCAACCGATATCCCATACATGAAAGAGACACCTGTGGGCAAGCTGCAGTAAACCATCCCTACAAGCGACCTCGGAGTCAAAGTTGGGATCCGAAAAATGAGGAAAGGAGGTGGAGGGTTCTTCGAAAGATCTGGTGGTGATAATCGTCCCGTGGAAAGTGGTGTTTGGAGCCCTCATTTTTGCGCATCGATCTGGCAGTATGGAGATCCTCCTGAAAGGCCTTTTCGCATTCTAAAGCATGGCGATTGGTGCAGGGAGGCCTGAGGTATGAACGGCATGAATCTATCATTATGGATATTACTCATATTGATGTTGAACGAGAAGTGCATTGGTACGCTGATATGCTTGAAAAAGGAAGGAAAGGGCTTTTCCCAGTGGCAGGGTCTCTAGCGCCCGTATTGCATTGAAACGGCAAAGTTGAAATGATACACATTATTTCTGTTATACATATTGAGCGCAGCGGGTGAATGAAGGAAATCCATGACGCCCCATCCCTACCTCGTTCTTCTCTCGCACCATGTCGACGACTGGTCAAGTAGGAAAATCTTCAGCAGGCTCAGAGCAAATCCATATTATAGTACACATTCAGTCTTGTTGCGTTGCAGATCCCCGTGCCACGTTCACGCCGGCACCACCGGTATGTACTAAATATGTATGCGCATACAAGTCCTTTGTGCGAGGTACCTGTGAAGATACGTATGTACCCAGCTAGTATCCCACGGCGAAACGTATTCAGAGGTGTTATACTTGGGTCAGAATGTCGTGGATGGGGGGGGG